GCTCTGACGTTTTCTCAATTCTGTTACTAACGTCCTCATTTTTATCCAATCGATTGCATGATAGTCCGACTGAAGAAACACTCCGCGATGGTTCAGTTCAGTTCAGTTTATTGAGGGAAATAGGCGTAAGGCTTTGAGTACCCTATTTGCAACGTAAAAAAATGTGTGGTATACAGATAAATGTTCTGGGCTGAAATAGTCAAACACGCCCATAATTGTAGGACAAAATGAGAACGGGTTACAGGGGGTGAGCTCTACTTCTCATCGTTCTTGGTCATTTTGGAACATAAATATGTCAAGATTCTTTTTAAAACTTTGTATGGATGGTGACATCACAACATCTGCGGGAAGGGCATTCCAGGGTTTGACCACTCGAACGGAGAAGAAGACCTTCCATACATCTGCGCACGAGTTAAGATTTCCATTACCATCTCCAACCCCACACGTGTGAGGAGTGGAGTCATTCAGGGTAGTGTACTCGGCCCGCTTTTATTTTGCCTTTTCGTTAACGATGCGCAGTTTTAACGGGTGACCTCGGAGGTTGGTCGTGGTAGCAAATTGAAAGAAGTCCTCGAAGGCCAGACTGCAATCCAACCCCTTAAGAATGCGGAAGGCTTGCAAGAGATCCCCGCGAAGTTGCCTGTAACTCAAAGGAAAGAGGTTCAGATTTACTAGGCGAGTTGCATAAGGAAAGGAGTTTTGACCCCTAACCATCTTCGTGGCCCTCGTCTGGACCCTTTCGAGGCAGTTTTGATCTACAATAGCCCACGGCCTCCAAGCTTGTATGCCGTACTCTAAATGCGACCGGACGAATGTTCCGAATGTCTTTGAGAAAGCATCTTCGTCAAAGTCCATGAACGCACGCTTGATGGAGTACAGTACGGACATTGCGGTTTTTGCCACTCTCGAACAGTGGGCGGATGGCTTTAGGGAACTCGTCGTAAGCACACCGAGGTCTTTTTGGGCTTCGACCTCTTTTAAGGCTGCACCGCCCAGAAACTAGTTTCTTGTGCTGTCGTATCTGGCTGTGTGGCCTAGGCGAAATATGCTACATTTGGCAACGTTGAACCGCAGGAGCCAACGGTTTGACCACTCCTCCAACCGATTCAGGTTCATCTGCAGTCTGTCTTCGGCGGCAGTACCCCGAATTACACTCCATATCTTCATGTCGTCAGCAAACATTGCTACTTCGCAGTCTAAAGCTCTTGCAGCATCGTCCACGTAGATAAGGAACAAAATGGGTCCCAGTACTGAACCCTGGGGGACACCACTCTCGACCATAGCAGGGTCTGATTTTCCCCGACCGATGCAGAAAACCTGGTGTCGACCCACAAGGAAGTTTTCAATCCATTTAAGGAAGTTGCCACTGATCCCTATTTTTTTAAGTTTATGTAAGAGCCTCTGGTGTGGCACAGTGTCGAACGCCGTCTGGAAGTCGATGAAGACTATGTCGGACTCGTGCCTGTCGTAGGGAGCTTGGGTCCAGCTCTGGAGAGAATGCAGCAAGTTTGTCGTGCAGGATCTTCCTTTTCGGAACCCATGTTGGCATTTCGATAGTAGGCCGTGAACTTCCAGGAATTGCATCAGTTCACTCTTTATGATCCTTTCCATCACTTTGCAGAGAATGCATGTCAAGCTTATGGGCCTGTAATTTGTCGTCGCTGCCCTGTTACCTCCTTTGTGTAGCGGAGTAATATGCGTCAGCTTCCAATCGATAGGAAGTGTTCCAGTGTCAAATGACGTTTGAAAGAGCATCGACAAAGGCACAGAGAGCTCACTGGCAAGTTTCTTGAGAAGCTTGAGTGGAATCTCGTCTGGTCCTGGTGACTTCAATTCGTTCAATGCCTCCAATTCTCTTCGGACAATGCCTTCTGAAAAGAGTATATCGCTGACTCTTGGGGTCGGCAGTCTGGACTTTGGCGACTTTCAGTATCTATAAGGACAGTATTCAGAGCCTTGGGAAACCATGTTTACAGATATACAAATGAAAAGACTGAACATATATACATAAAAGTTATATCAGTCATTGATATTAAGTAACTATTCGACAGTCAAGCATAAATTTGTCAAGTCTTTCCTGAAGGTCTCGACGTTTTCCTCCAAGACAACGGAGTTCGACATTTCGTTCCATCCTCCAACCAGCCGGTGGGAGAAGAAATTGGTTC